TAAAAAGTTACGCTAGTTTCCCGCCGGTATTTTTACAATGAATAAAAAGTGCCTCGCTCGCACAATTGACAAAAAATAAATAAACAATATGTAATTTTAATCTTTCTTCATGAAACAAGACATTTGTCTTCCGCTATTTGTCATTACGGCTAAATAACACGCCACGCTGCCGAAAAAATCGGCTATTTTAATAACAACATTAGCGCTGTGAAAATCGTCAATTGTGCGTTTTCACGGCGATTGTTGGTCTCGGATGGTTGGTCTTGATGTTTCTTCCATATCTATAATCGAGAGCAATTCCATAATCGAGAGCAATTCTGCGTGTGGAATTTAGAAATCGCCTACGTTTTACTCCATCACCTTCAAAAAGCACAAAGCTGTAATATCACTCTTCAATGAGCACAAAAACGAGACTTAACGCACCGCTGCGCACAATTCGAAGAAGGTTTGCTACTAGCTTCACAGTGGTAACTACATGAGACCCCGAAAGTACACAAGACCCGAAATTTCACCACTGTGAATCCAGCGGAATTTCAGCGGAAAAATATTCGGCAGTTTTCAATTGGTTCCCATGCGGAAAATAATCTCTTATTACAATATTTATAAGGTATAAATGGATCCTATTTGAAATAATATGTTCCGAAGGAAACAACTCAGACCAAAATATAAGTTTAAGCACATTTAGATGGTAGTGGTAATTACAACATACATAACTGTATATCACATAAAACAGAAAAACTAAAACGTATTAGAATATATTTGCAGAATGAAAAAAAAATACAAAATAAAAATTGGCTACATTTGATGGGAACACAAAAACATCGGAAAATATTTTTTTCAATGTTACATGCAAACTTTAGGGTTCGAGACCAAATGCGAATGTGATCCGCAAAGTTCGACAATTTTTAACAGTAATTTTGAATAGTACCAATAGTGATAAGTATTATATATAAAAGTTGAAGGGAACAAAGCGGGACTTTATGCTTTATGGACCTCCAAATATAGGCCAAAAACGAGATTTTCCGAAATTTGAGGCGTACTCGATATATCGAGGCCGAATTCGAATATGTTTCTTAATATGCCGACAACTTTTGACAACGATTTCGATCACATGTACAAGTCAAGTGTCTAACACCAAAGTATGATCAACAGCGGAACAAAACTTAACAAAATAGGGCCCTTCAAAAATTGACAAAAAATCAGATTTTGCTGTATTTCGTGCGAACTCAATGATTCGATGCCGAATTCGAATATGATCCGCAAAGTGCCGACAACTTTTAACAGTAATTTTGAATAGTACCAATAGTGAAAAGTATTATATAAAAAAGTTGAAGGGAACAAAGCGGGACTTTATGATTTATGGGGCTCCAAATACAGGCCAAAAACGAGATTTTCCGAAATTTTATGCGTACTCGATATATCGAGGCCGAATTCGAATATGCTGCATTATATGCCGACAACTTTTGACAACGATTTCGATTACATGTATAAGTCAAGTGTCTAACACCAAAGTATGATCAACAGCGGAACAAAACTTAACAAAATATGGCCCTTCAAAAATTGACGAAAAATCAAATTTTGCTGTATTTCGTGCGAACTCAATGATTCGATGCCGAATTCAAATATGATCCGCAAAGTGCCGACAACTTTTATATATAATACTTTTCACTATTGGTACTATTCAAAATTACTGTTAAAAGTTGTCGGCACTTTGCGGATCATACTCGAATTCGGCATCGAATCATTGAGTTCGCACGAAATACAGCAAAGTCTGATTTTTTGTCAATTTTTGAAGGGCCATATTTTGTTAAGTTTTGTTCCGCTGTTGATCATACTTTGGTGGTAGACACTTGACTTATACTTGTGATCGAAATCGTTGTCAAAAGTTGTCGGCATATAAAGCAACATATTCGAATTCGGCCTCGATATATCGAGTACGCATAAAATTTCAGAAAATCTCGTTTTTGGCCTGTATTTGGAGCCCCATAAATCATAAAGTCCCGCTTTGTTCCCTTCAACTTTTATATATAATACTTTTCTCTATTGGTACTATTCAAAATTACTGTTAAAAGTTGTCGGCACTTTGCGGATCATATTCGAATTCGGCATCGAATCATTGAGTTCGCACGAAATACAGCAAAATCTGATTTTTCGTCAATTTTTCAAGGGCCATATTTTGTTAAGTTTTGTTCCGCTGTTGATCATACTTTGGTGGTAGACACTTGACTTATACATGTGATCGAAATCGTTGTCAAAAGTTGTCGGAATATAAAGCAACATATTCGAATTCGGCCTCGATATATCGAGTACGCCTCAAATTTCAGAAAATCTCGTTTTTGGCCTGTATTTGGAGCCCATAAATCATAAAGTCCAGCTTTGTTCCCTTCAACTTTTATATATATTACTTTTCACTATTGGTACTATTCAAAATTACTGTTAAAAGTTGTCGGCACTTTGCGGATCATATTCGAATTCGGCATCGAATCATTGAGTTCGCACGAAATACAGCAAAATCTGATTTTTCGTCAATTTTTGAAGGGCCTTATTTTGTTAAGTTTTGTTCCGCTGTTGATCATACTTTGGTGTTAGACACTTGACTTATACATGTGATCGAAATCGTTGTCAAAAGTTGTCGGCATATAAAGCAACATATTCGAATTCGCCCTCGATATATCGAGTACGCATAAAATTTCAGAAAATCTCGTTTTTGGCCTGTATTTGGAGCCCCATAAATCATAAAGTCCCGCTTTGTTCCCTTCAACTTTTATATATAATACTTTTCACCATTGGTACTATTCAAAATTACTGTTAAAAATTGTCGGCACTTTGCGGGTTATATTCGAATTCGGCATCGAATCATTGAGTTCGCACGAAATACAGCAAAATCTGATTTTTCGTCAATTTTTGAAGGGCCATATTTTGTTAAGTTTTGTTCCGCTGTTGATCATACTTTGGTGGTAGACACTTGACTTATACATGTGATCGAAATCGTTGTCAAAAGTTGTCGGCATATAAAGCAACCAATTCGAATTCGCCCTCGATATATCGAGTACGCATAAAATTTCAGAAAATCTCGTTTTTGGCCTGTATTTGGAGCCCCATAAATCATAAAGTCCCGCTTTGTTCCCTTCAACTTTTATATATAATACTTTTCACCATTGGTACTATTCAAAATTACTGTTAAAAGTTGTCGGCACTTTGCGGGTTATATTCGAATTCGGCATCGAATCATTGAGTTTGCACGAAAATAAGCAAAATCTGATTTTTCGTCAATTTTTGAAGGGCCATATTTTGTTAAGTTTTGTTTCGCTGTTAATCATACTTTGGTGTTAGACACTTGACTTGTACATGTGATCGAAATCGTTGTCAAAAGTTGTCGGCATATAAAGCAACATATTCGAATTCGGCCTCGATATACCGAGTACGAATAAAATTTCAGAAAATCTTGTTTTCGCCTGTATTTGAAACTCCATAAATCATAAAGTCCGCTTTGTTCCCTTCAACTTTTATATATAATACTTATCACTATTGGTACTATTCAAAATTACTGTTAAAAATTGTCGGAACTTTGCGGATCATATTCGCATTTGGTATCGAACCCCAGAGTTTGCATGTAACATTGAAAAAAATATTTTCCGATATTTTTGTGTTCCCATCAAATGTAGCCTATTTTTATTTTGTATTTTTTTTCATTCTGCAATTATATTCTAATACGTTTTAGTTTTTCTGTTTTATGTGATATACAGTTATGTATGTTGTAATTACCACTACCAGCTAAATGTGCTCAAACTTATATTTTGGTCTGAGTTGTTTCCTTCGGAACATATTATTCCAAATAGGATCCATTTATCCCTTATAAATATTGTGATAAGAGATTATTTTCCGCATGGGAACCGGTTGAAAACTGCAGAATATTTTTCCGCTGAAATTCCGCTGAATTCACAGTGGTGAAATTTCAATAGCTCGACAGCATTAAAGTCAGTCGGACAGTGACATTAGTACCAGTATCAACTAGACATTGAGCCTCACTTTTTTCCGGATGTTCTTGAATTTTTAAATGAAAGGAATCATCTATTCAGTATTTAAGCTTGTTTCTGCTTTTTACTGTTTCAGGCTAAGATCTGCCTTTTTGCAGTTATGAATATAGGGCTAGGAGTTTATTGTAACTTACATATCTAATTCAACCTCATAATGGATGCTAATGCCAAAGAAAATTTGAACGTAGCAGAAAGCGGAACCACCCATTTTAGAGGTGATTTTACTGCTTCAACAAGCTCTAAAACCACCTTTGAAAAAACGGAAAATGAAAAGAATGTTGCACATCATACCATTGGTGATCAATTTTCTAGTTTAGCTCAGACTGTGGCTAGTGGAATGTATGGACAAGAAACCAACATGCTTTCTTTGCTATCATCGGTCGCAAACTCTGAACAAGAAAGGAAAGCAAAGAAACTTGAAGAAATGGCAAAAAAAAGCGTTTCTCAAGGAATACGAGAGAATCTTCCATCATGTACTTCCTCTTCTTCTTCATCTTCATCAAGCAATGAAGAGGTAGTCATGGCCGTGTAACAACATATACTTTAGAATAGGCCCAATAATACCACAAAGATAAATAAGTACCGCAAAAATGAAATTGAAATAACAGGGTTCGGGGTCAATTTTTCACTTTGTTGTAAAAAATTTCGTTTTCAGCTCTGAACTCTAAGAAATACAACGTTTGATAACATGAATGCAAGCTTTCGTAAATAAACTATTAGGAATGCTTTGTAAACCTAATGCTTTTTGAGTTTCTGTGGAAACCGCCGACTTCTTTTATGCCATTGAAAGTATGAAATCCTGACTTCAATCCTGGGGAAATCAGAATTTCTACTACTGCGAGCTTAACTGACTCTAGTGAAAACATGCTAAACTCTCCACGGCCCTGGCTCCAACATAAATCTTAAATTTGTGCTATCAATATCACAGGATGATGATTCTGATGCTGAGAGTTCTGAACTTGATGAAGAAGATTGTGATAGAATTCGATCACAATGTTTAGATGAAATGTCAACAATTGAAAAACAATTTACAGATATCAGAGACCAGTATGTCATTCTTGTTTCTATATCAGTTTTTCTCAAACATTTTTTGCCCCAGAAAACTTACGCTTTTTATCTTGCCTCGCGTAACACCAAAAAATTAGAAGGTTGATTAGAATTGATTATATAAAAAATTGTGAGAGGGATTTACTTTGTGCTTCAACTTGCACAACAGGCTCATCATGAAATCTTTTAAGGCTTCCAGTTTCGATGACTGTCCTGCGAAATTCCGAAAAAGCTCACGGAACAGGGCACAGCCGTGTTTCGCGGAACACAGTTTGAGAAACGCTGGTCTATAAATATCGGAGGAATATTTATGTAATGTTTTTTATAAAATTCTTCTATGTAATTATGAAGCAAAATTCAATGTAAAAGGGAATGTTCTGAATGCTGTGATAATTTCAATACTCTTGAATCAATGTTTAATATTTTATCTCTTCCAATTGTCATATATATTTTGTTATAGACTATACAAAGAAAGGCACAGCCAAATAACAAGCAAGTTAAAAGAAGTGGAATCAGAAATTGCAGTAGAATATTTAAACCCATACCAGATTTTAAGCAAAAATAAACAAAATAGAATAGAGGTAAGTAATTGATATTTTATTAAATATTTGATAACCTGTTTTATACGTCCTGACAAGCCTCGTCATATAAGTCAGTGATGACCATAATCATTGAATCTACATTCGTGAATGCAACTGAAAGAATATTTTTTAATATATTTTCTTGATTGGCTCATGAGAAGATGTAGCCTACAATATAGAAGTTGAGTTAAAAAAGAGTTCTATATATACAGTTTTCGAAGATTAATTGAAGGTTTCAGGCCTAATTATAAGAGTTTTTACATTAATACAAGAAGTTATAATATCAAATATAAGAAACTTAACAAACAAATATATGTGAATATTTAATTCCTTTAGAACGTCCCAAATTTGGTAGATTGCTGTCATATATTCGTTAATTTATCCATTGAGTTTAACCTTCAATATGTTATAGGTGTGTGAACGACTTCGGAAATTGCGAAAAGATTCTATCAAATCATGGTATCAGTCTCAGAGACAAGCAAACAATCAACAGTTTGAGGTGCCAGTTTTTATTCTTACATTGGAATGACTGTTTTTTTTCATTTCAATAGGATAAACTAATAAATAAAATATACAGACATTAAATAGATATAATATGCAAAGCTTTTTGTGTAATTTTATACACGATTAATGTAGGGTTTCCTTAATACAGTACATGTGCTGGAGACAGCCGAATTGAACAGCAAGAATCATTAGGTGTCTTGACAATTGCGTACAAACAAACCTCCACATAATCAATTATGAAATTGAATAGTGTCATAGTTATAAGTAAATTCTAATTCAAATGCTGTTTTTTCTAGTGATATTTAGTACAATATGTAAAGCTTTCATGAACACAGTTCATGATTTTCATTCAGCCTGTTAAAATTATATTCTTACTAATTTCTTAAATTGTGTTTCTCATTACGTCAGAATGAGAAAATGATTATGTCTGATTCTATTCGACTGGAAATCGAAGAGAAAATCAAAATTCTTGAAGAAGATAGAGACAATGTAGATTTTTCTACTGAACTATGGACTGATGCCACATTAGGCAACGGACAAAAATTTAGGTCGACATCTGGTGGCAATGGCAGTTCAAAATCTAGTTCGTGGCTCAAGTCGAACAAGAAATCAAAAAAAGAACCACCGTTTCAATTTGGATTTACAAATGGAACAGCAAAGAGGAAAAAGAAACCAGTTACTGTGTCAGATATCCTTTTGAAATTATATACACATATATTGCATTAATAACGGTAGGAATATAGAGTATTTTCAGTGCTGAAAAAAATGGAAAGTCTTACTGTCGAGTAGAAAGAATTATACTTCGATGTGATTTAAATTTTAAAATGTGATGATTTTAGGAAGTTTGGAATAGCCAGGGTGTGCTGCAACACCAACAAGGTGACAAACCATGATTTTTTTTGAAAATTTGCAAATGCTGATTCTACATTGTGCTTGCTTGTTTAATTAACAGCGTATATATATAACATACAAATTCCTTAGCTCATTGAACGCCCCTATATCATTTATATGCTACGAGAAGAAGATATAGTTGACGATTGGACTGTAATCAAGAGAGCCTTAACTGCAAGTAAAAGGAGAAAATCTGGATCGAGAGGTATTAAATGTTAATGCTTGAAAAGTCTGATGAACCATTATTCCCTTTTCATGCACTTAAGAATACTTAGTAGCAGTTGTAGGCTATCAGCGCTTACCAAACCTACCAATGTTATCTATCTATTTATACAACCCTATTCAAACTTTGGTCGTGATGGTGTCATATGTGTAGGATTTTCAAAAAATGAAAATCTTTTGCAATTCGTGCAATTATAAGACGATTATCCGTATTTAACAGATCATTTGCCGAAATTGAAGCACACATGTCGGATCGAAAATCATAAGCTACAGTATGATGGAAGATGGTTTTCCAGAGGGCAAACAATTACGATGAAAAGTAAAGAAACTGGAAACACTCAGTATGTATTGTATAGCATGATGACACAATCAATCTTGATTTATATAACATCATCAATTCCAAGTAAGCTGATAATATACTTTTTGGTAGATGACAGCCCAAAAAGTTTTAAAATTTTCCATGGTCTTCTATAAGTTGCCTTGATGTCAAAGTTTTAAATGGAGTTCCTTACTGCATGATCATAGATTGGCAATAACAGGTCATTTACCATTTTCCTTTCCTGTATTGACGCTATAATATTTGATAGTCTACTTTCTCAAATCGTTAAGGTTACCATCAATATCTCATTCTCAAGTACCTGTCTAATGCTATTTTCAGTGCTACAATCTCCTCTATTGGTAATAGTGAAATTACAGTACGACAAAGCAACAGCACAATCATAAAGATGCATGTACAACAACTCATCAGGGGAAAGTTTCTGATACGACCAAGATGACAGAATTATTATTTAATGCGTGATTCATTCCATATTACTTTCTAAACATGGAAGGTAGTAAAAAACTGCGGTTATCTATTCAACTTCTGTGATGACGGGAATTGGGTTAATAGTGATGCAGAGGAAAGACACTGATGCCTTTGTGCTGAAGCAGTGTTTATTTGGTTCCATTACATTTGAACCCATGACAATTGCACCTGTATGCTATTGCACCTATGGAATTTTTTTGTTTCATGGATAGTTAAACCCATACTAACCCTAACCCATGGGTTTTAGCACCCGCATATAGATTGAACCCGTGGATATACTCATGGGTTCAAATGTACGGTCACCGTTTATTTTTATATTCGGTTAATACAAGGACTAAAAAGATGTTTCATTTTTATTTATTTTATAATAAATCTCTACTTCTTTGCATATATATATGTGTGTGTGTAATAAGTAAATAACGCCAGCATCTTTCCAGAATGAGTGAAGTCGTTACAGTTGGCGACAAATAAACAAATTTGAGTCTCCCCATTTCATTTCATTGCAAAGTTTATTACTTCAATTGTATACATATTCTTGAATGCTCGACATGCAAACTGCCTAGCATTGTGTATAAAGTAGCTTCATTGGTAGGAAAATAAAACTTTTTGGCTGCTCCTCAACACTTTTACCCAGCATATCAATGAGCCAACATCACACGATTCTTCCAACATACATAGATTTAGGATATTTTTCATGAAGTTCTTTCCACTGCACAAACATTTTGTCGCAGAAATGGTACAGAATCAGTCCTGATAGTGAAAGTGACTTTACTCGACAGATGCTTTCAGCAAATATGATTTGACAATGACCAATACCTAAAAACTGTAAAATAATCGATATAACAATTAAAAATAGAATACTATAAAGTAAAAAACTGCAAGCAATGTGGACGTTCTTAATGACATGTAGAAGCGCATCAAACAGAGCTACAATCAAGAAGAGCTTATATGTGTGCTGGATACTTTATTCCGGCTCTGCGAGATTGCCAAATGACTTTCAGATTTTTCATTTAGGCCCTATTCTATGTAGAATGATGCTTAATACTTTGTGGTAAATAGGTTGAACACCACAGTAAAACATAGTTAATACAAATATAACAAGGCATTAAACATATTGAATCTGTAGTAATAATAAAAGGGATTTTATTAGCAGGCAAAGTGCGTTAATATATAGAGAAATATATATATTAGCTCAGCTAAAATATTATGATGAAAAACCCACTTTGTATAGAAATGCTATAAAACATAATGGAATGCAGGTTCCAGGTCCATTGCATAAAAGTAGGTCAGGATTGCTATTCCAAACAATTGAAAATGAGGAAACAGTGGCAACGAGTGTTGTCCATACACTGCTTAACCATGGCTGGGCAACTTCTCGACTTCTGCAAAAGAAAAATTTAAAAGGTCTAGGCTAGCAATTTGTTATTTTTACCCCAAATTGGCACAATTGTAATAGATCTAATTAATTCTAATCTAGCATGAGCTTTTACCAAAAAATCACATTTCTTTATGCTATATACCGGTACCGGTACCGTATATGACAGCCTCTCACCTTGGAATTGTTACTATGCAATAACCTTCGTCATTCTCATCAACCTTCCTGTCCGTTTCAAACTGTTGTATTTTATTTGCACTCATTTTATCAGTGTCCGCAATTACATAACAGATAGGACGATAATTCGAAGAAAGAGCTGATAGCAATCGCAGCAGTTCTGCCGTGTGTCCACCTGCAAATTCGCGTAATTCATGAAAACCATCGAAACAGAAATAGCAAATAATATTATATCCACTTGACCCTTACCTGACCCTGCAATCGCGAGTACTTTAACTTTTTGACCACTCAAGTTTAGTCCACTTCCAAGATGTTTAAGAATCCAAATTAATCGTAGAATCGCAAATAGCAGCAAACAAAACAAAATTGGCACGAGCATGTTGTGCTAAATTCAAAAACCTACCGTACTCCACAGAAACACAAAGCTAAACTACCGGTACCTCGGGTTCACGGAACACAGTACTAAAGAGGTCAAAATGAGAATTAAATTTATCATCGAAGAAAACTCTAAATTCACTGTGTTTTTAAGGTAATTCATTTGGTATTTCATTCCGTTTTCAAAATTTCATAGTCAACACGATGTTAAAATTTTTTTTTGTTGACAAATAAAATATTACTGTTATGATACGCGCATGTTATTCATCGTGATTGTTTTATTAAATGAGTTTGTGTCGGTATGGCGTACAGCAAAATCACCGTATATTTTCGCAATTTCTCGGTAGCATGATGCTAAACAACAATGTGCCTTATCTATTTAGAGCAGGGCCAATTTAGCTGGAATACTCACTTATTTATTACCTGCGGACCGGCGTTAACGATGACAGAGTTTCTTGAAAAAACAGTGTTACCTGTGGGTGAGTTATTATAATAGAGTTGAATATAATACCTTGATACAGATATATTACATTATGGGTTAGGTGTGGAGTATGATATGTGGATGGAAGGACAGACATTGTTGAACAACATCAGTGAAAACAAGAATTTTACAATTTCACTCAGAAAAAGCCTCATGAGAAGCCAAATTTTTTTAAAGGAACTGTTATGTGTTGGGCGTGCGCTTTGCCGCTTTGAACCACTGATTTTTAACATACAAACGTATAGATCAAATGATATTGTTAATCAGTGAACCTATTTTTCCAGTTGAATTCAGCCATGGTCGAGTGAAAGATGGAACAAAAGTGAATGTCACTTGGTACACGAGCGATGAAGATGAAAATAAGAAAAAGATGGTATGTTTTATTTATATTTTTTATGGAAAGTTCAAATTGATACATCTTATCATTAGTATAGCGGCTGTTGATGGAGCATATGATGATTTTCAATAATTTTTCCAACTTTCCCACCAAATTAGATCATCTACTCATATTGTTTCTTGAGATTTTTTTTTATACATATACAGTCACTTAAAGGTCCCTATTCTAAAGTTCTTCATCTCTAATAGAAAACAAACCTTTATTTTTTCAGGTTTGTGATACACCCGATGGGATGCAACATATTGGTAGCAACTTTGGATACAATCCATCTCGTGATTACCTTAATCATTATATTGTTCTAAAGAATAAAAAAACAGGAGAAAAAAAAATATTTCTGACAGAGAATTACAAGGTAATAATTTTACATATTAATCAGAAATTTAAAAAATATGATGTTGTTATCAGACTGGACTAGAGGTCGTTGTTTGTCGTATAATCTATTTGCCCGATAGGCTTTCCTTTCCCAAATATACAAAGTACTCCATCCCCACCCTATCAAGTTTTCTGTAGCAGTTGGTGATTTATATATCATTGAGATCAATACTTGTGTCGAATTTCTACAATTTTGCTTCATAGAAGATAAGATTTGAATAGTTGGAATAAAAATGAACCAGAAATAAATCATTGAAGGCAATTTCGACAATTGTTCAGCCAGTACTCTTATTGAATAATCCTGTCTAATAAAATTTTCAGGTATATCCAATAGTGAAAAGAGACAATGAAATTGACAGTGATGACGAAAGGAGACAGGCAATAGATAAAGTACAAAATGAAACAAGGTGATGTTCAACTACTCTCTGATTTCAATACACTCTTTGTATCTTTGATGAATGGCGCAAACTAGTCTGATAAAGATTAGCATTGTTGGAATTGTATAATATTATAAAAAACACGGCGCTTCATTATGTGTACCAATATGGAGGTAATTTACATCAAGTTGTGTGAAGGGACTGAAACCTATGGGCAGGGGGGTATTCATTTGGCTAACACAGACAGTCCCCGAACTCGTAATAGAACTTAAATAAAAAGATCTGAATAAAATTATGGCCTAACCTTAACCTGGTACACATACTAGAAGAGTACCTATAATACAATTAATGCTTAAATCTTGAAGACAGATATGAACTGCTAATTAATCGTGGTCAGAGTAGTTAAAATGTTAGACTCAACTACGTTCTGATCTCATTAGGGGTGTAATAAGTTGGGTAGGAAATGCCATACTGGATTCTGGTCGTTCAAAAATAAAGAACCTCTATATAGATTAGTGATTATGTGTGCAGAGCCATGTTTAGAGTAAAATGCGTATAATTACATCATATAAAAAAAGTAACAAAAAATGAGGTTTTGATAATATTCTGCATTCGACAAATTTTCTGAAGTCACAAAAGATAAATTAATGTCACAAAATTTCTCTAGCTGTTTAGCGAATAGTTGAACGTTGATTAAAACTATAAGAAATATATTTTGATTCTCAGAACGTTTGATGAAAGATTAGATGATCTTACTGGGGAGTTTGGTAGCAAAATCAAAGTACAAGCAATGAATGCGCGGCAACGTAACAAAGTATCTGACACAACTGAAGTTGTGAGAGAGGCAGTTTCTAATCTTGTGGAAGCAGAGGGAATATCTGGTAGAAAAATTAAATCATTTGTATATACATTTCATCTATCATCGTTATTTATGCATAAAATTTCAGCTTTGGGACAGGAATGGCCAAAACTAATAATCCACTATACTGAATTCACTCTGTAGATATATTTTATTATGAGAATCTGATTGAAATAGGCATATAGGAGTATTGCGTATACCATATTTGCTAATAACCCGATTTTCTGGCATAATTTTCTGATGTCGCTACTTGAGCAGCTCGGCTTCTTTGCTTTTTTATGAGATCAGAGAAAATCTGCCTCTGCTTGTGGGGCTACTAGAGGAAAACCCTCATTTTAGTGCTAAAAATTGGCAAATATGGTATTTTGCGCTGGAATATAAAGAAAATATTTTAGTTACTGAAAACCAGAAAAAAATATATTAATAGAAATATTAGTTTACACAACAATATGAGCATTTTATATTGTTATTAAATGCAATTATCTTGTATTCTATTGCAGGTCAAAGTCAATCCGAAAATGTTAATTTGTCAATTCTACCATACAACAAAGAAGCAACTTCAGAAGAAGATGTATATCCACTTAATAACTTTATTCCACAGCATATCAGAACAGCTGCATTAGAGTCAGCAAAGGTATAAAATTAACACACTGTAAGAAAAAATGATACAGCCAATGTTAAAATCTAAATCAAAGCATGGACATTTGTATAAATGACTCCAATAGTACAATATATATTACCTCATGTCTTGGTTAATGCAGTACCGTATGTTACTAGTTCCCACCTTAGTACGCTGTCGCATATTTAGTTCAAAATTGTCTTACTTAATACAGCCTTGGCATCTTATACCGGTTTTGTGAAAGCAGATCTCTTGAACATCTATTATTATCAAACTCTCACTCATGTACTAGCCAGCAACAATGCACTGTTAGTATCAGGAAAATAGGTATTTAGAATGATTTCAACAAAAAAGTTCTTCCATCTTGTTGTAATCATTGCTGTCTTTAATAACTTGATTGGAATTTCTTCAGGAATTATTGACACCGACTGCCGATAAAATCAAATCTTGGAGAGAAGAGAAAAAGTATGTAAATTATAGTTTCATTGTAAATACTGAAGATTTAGGTCTGGAGGATGTATAGGAACAATAAATTGCTTTTGTATAGATTCGAAAATATTCACCTATTTATGGGTGGAAATAGCCCAACAGAATAAAATTTTCGGCTTTATAACAATTTGTTTCCTGCGATACAAATCGTGCTCGAATGGGAAAAAATTTGGTTTTTCAACATAAAATAACGACAAGGTATAATTTGTTTTCTGGCACATAAATGATCATAATGCGACTTAATTTCCGTTAGTGCCAGTTCTCTCTCAATTTTAATTTTGAGAATTTTTATTTTTTTATTTCAAGTTCTGAATACTTGTAAAGATAAATATTATGTTTATTACGTTTTCAGTCCTCTAGGATGTCGCTACATAGCCTGGCGAGCACGAAATTTACATCCCAGTATAAGGAATGATGTTGAAGCATGGCAGGATTATGTTTGTAATTTACAAATTCTTGCTTATTTTATGAAAGTCTACAATCCTACTGGTTCTGGTCCAGAGAAACGTAAGATACATTGATTACATTATTTAGATTAATAATCCAGTATTCCAGAATTAAGTAGTAGCTTTTGGCACTCCAAAGGTCGTTCAGTCTTCTACACTTATTTCTGGAACAAAATAATGCTGTTGCTTTTAACTATTGAACAAATTTCATTCATATTTTCAGTAGAGAAAGATAGACAGGAATACCTCATAGAAAGCTATTGGGATGATTGTTTACTCTAAATTCAGCTGATTTTGAAAATTTTGTAATACAAGGATTTTCCAGCGATTGATACTGTGAACTTGTGAAGCAAGTGGTCGATGAACAAAAAATGTTCACAGATGTTGGACCATTGGTACCATTTTCGCTGTGCATTTGATCCTTGGTCTACTGTTGGACCATTTTAGGAAATTCTTGGTATTCTGTTACAATTTGGCAATAAAGGACATTTCCTTTCCTATTATTTGAGCATTTTTATCATTTTAGTGCTATTTCTCCAAATCTATGTTTTCGTACATGTGTACTGCTTCAAATGGTTATTTCTTATTTTTCAGTTACGTATCTAGCGAATATAAATGAGACAATCAAATCATGGATTATTCGTGAATTCATGCCGCTGGAAAAAGCCCTTACTTTAAAGAAGTATGATTTATAATATTATAGTTTCAAGTCTTTAAACTGCAATCATTATCACTCTTAATATTTTAGACATGCCATTTGGTAAATGTAGGTATGTTACAAAAAGTTCATCCGATTTGAATAAAAACTGCACCAGTGGATAGATCTAAGTGAAAATAAGAAAACAATACCAAGTTTGCGAAAAATGGTCAAGAATTAACGGAGATATCTGCATTTAAGTACCGCCCGATAGGCCAATTTTTTCCATAAGTATTGTATTGCGCCGACTCAAAAACTGTGACCGCGAGAATGTCAGACCGATAAACAACAGAATGTATCTCGGCTATTTTTGGAGGTAATCGAAAAAAATTTTGAACGAAAAGTTATTGTGAATAGAAGAACCTAATGCAAAAAATTTTACAAATTCTTCTTAACGATATTAGCTGCTTTTCAATTAATTATGTACGAGAAAGTTTCTGAACTTTACATAACCTCTGGTCGGCAACGACTTTCCCAATACGCAAGTCACCGCATACGCGGCAATTAACTGATTTAGCGTTTTTCATATCCGACCTTAATGAACGATTAATTATCATTTAATATTCACTCGTAGGAGATTTACCGCGCTTAGTGAAACGCAAAACGAGAGGAATCGCTGCGAGGGAAAATGTCGGCATTCAGTCGATAACTGATGCGCGTTGACAGACGCGTGCTAAGATCATACTTCTCGTGCCTTGAATTAATTTGTACCGTTTCGTAAACGTATGCGAATTGACTTTTTTCAATAAGAACTTTAATAAATATGAAAAAAAAAACACATATCAATCTTTAATTTTTCGATGTGCGTCACATCTAAGAAAATTCAGATTACTTTAGGATTTTATTCTGGCAACGATCATTGAGACCGTCGGAAGATCGTCGCAAATCAACCCTGGAGTTGAGCATATTAGTTTGACAGTGCCTCGTTGCGGGTAATAATTAACGATGTTCTGATTGAACAAACTTCATAAAAATTGGTAAGTATCAAGTTAGGAATGACATACATGCGTCCATATATATTTTATTGGTGTCCATAGACAATATCATTAATTTGCAGTACGTATAACTTTAACTTATAATTTTTAAAAGCCCCGAATGTTGGGAAATTTATGCGCTAATGAAAAAATTCAAATACCAAATCATAGTTGCGCATTTTATCTAAGTTATGTCCAAATTTCATGGAATTCCAAACAACAGCAGGCAGTCCGTAGTCGTTTTATGAGCGGTATTCTGACACGGCGTTACGGTACTTAGCAGACGTGGTGCGTACATTTTTTGGCGCGAAAAAGCGCGTTTTGTAACATTCCTAGTAAATGCTTTATAAAAAAGAATGAGATTTGCCTGTCAGAAAATTTGCTTTAAATAATCTTAATTTTCATGGTGGGCTTATCACATTCGTTTCAAACCGGACACTACAATATAATACAACTGGTCAAGCATTATGCTTTTTACAACTAGATTGTCGTATGTTTTAATCAGGGTATATTCAAGCCTGAATAAAAATCGCTTAAAGTCAAAGTGCTAAATTATACAACTGGTCAAGCATTATGCTTTTTACAACTAGATTGTCGTATGTTTTAATCAGGGTATATTCAAGCCTGAATAAAAATCGCTCAAATTCAAAGTGCTAAATTATTTTACAATTTATAAATTATTTATTCTTTGCAAGAAAATTTCTATTCTCCATTATTTAGGTTCCTCTTAGCTTTTTCTCTACTCTCAGCTTATCCTAAACATGTAAGGGTATTTATACAAGTCAATTGTGGGATATTTAATCGGGGTAAATTGAATTCTAATAGTAAAACCCAATCATTCATCATTTCAAATCATTTTCTCAAAGTACAATTATCTCCCATTTGTTATTTATGCACTATAAAGTTATATTCCTTGTATTAAGGTTATTTTCTGCCAACTTCTTTGCCTAACTATTTTCATCATATGTTTTATCAGGAGACTGGCTGGTGCAGTAAAGGACAAGATATTATCATACTCTATTGTGCTGCCTTGGCATCTTAATTCATTCAGTTTCGACATTCAAATGTTGGCAGATGGATTTGGAATTTCTGAGAGAACGTGAGTTTGTGATAGAATAAACTATTCGACCGGGCTGAACATTGAAATCTTGGAATGCTACAATCACTGGAACTAATAATTTAGTGATTCAGGGCTTTCTGGCATATCTTTTGAAATTTTTTTTTTTTCAGATTGTCGTTAATTGTGCGTGCTTTGGGTGGAAAAATCAAAGTAGATATGCAAGAAGGGATGAAAAGAACTATTGCTATTTTGCAACTGCCACTCGTTTTTCCAAATAAACCCATGAAGGGCAGAAGATAAGACCTCTTCGAAAATGGAAATATGTTCACATCAGTGTTGGCAATACTGAGAGTACATGGTTATATGTACATGGTTTACTTTGGTTTTTCTGGATTGAAATTTATGGTGTAGACTGTGGGAGATGAAATATGCGAAATTGTTGTATGGAATTTGTCTTTTCTGATTAACTTCTATATAACGTAGTATTTTGTCATTAGGTTGGAATGAGTTAGTCTTTATGTTCATTCATGCATTTGTGTCATATAAAGTTCGTGCCATTCTTCATATTTAATTTTTGAATAAAAAGAATCAAATTAGTTAAAATATATTTCCTACAAGAGTGAGCAACCATAACAATTTCGGGCATCATCAAAGCAAGTTTATGCAAAAATGCTTTAGTATTATAAGGTCAAAAGTAATTTTGCAATCAGATGCAAATTTAGGACATGCTCCGTACTGCACTTTTGGCACCAAAAGCAGGAAACCAGTTGTGTGGTTAACTTTTCATTGTATTTTAACTACTGTTCGACTTTAACGCAGGCGTCTCCGCTCGATAACCAGTACTATATTGGTTTCTCACGACTCCTTTCACCCCTAATTACCGTTTTTGCTTTTTTATTCACATTCTGTATTCATTTAGTGCAGTGGTTCCCACCCAACCTTTCTACCCTGGCGGACCGGTGAAAATTAAAATGAGTGGAGCAGAAAATAATAACATATGTTTGCGTAATGTCGGGCAATCACTATGCTTTGAGAAAAAAAAGGCACACTTAAAAACCGATCACATGAGGAAAAACTATCAAATAATGTACCGGCCAAAAATTGAAATGGGTGGAACATAAAATATTAATAACATATATTTGGGTAATTAAATGCAGTGCTGGGCACCCATTATGCGTAAAAAAGGCACACATATCACATAAAAAAACATGTACATGCCAAATAATGTACAAACACAGTTAACTCAAATGAGAATTTTGCTACTGTTTCGTTTCTAATACAGGATTGCAAACGAGACATCAAAAAAGGTTTTGCATCACGTAGCTCTACAGCGGCTCGTAGTCGATTTGTTTGCTTCGTTTTAATTAAAGATAGAAGTAACTAGTTGCAAATTCGGACAACAGTTTGATTGCTCGATTACTTAGCGACGGGTATTATGGGGTTATCAACGGAGCTCAAGAATGAAGCGTGACAGTGATTCTAACATAAATCTGGACTGTAAAGTAAAGGTTTCATTGGGTTCATCATATCATCTCTCTGCAGTTGATCAACACCTCAAAATGAATTTATATTACAGTGATAAAGTCCTTGCTAACTTGGTACCAGGCTCAAAATCCTGCTGTACATTACATGGGAAAGATCTCAATGGCCCATGCTTTTAGTTGCTTGTCCCGTGACCACCTGCCGGGTCGCAACAAGTTGGGCAAGTCATCGATATATGTTGCATTTCAAATTTTTTTTATTGCGAATAAAAAGCCATTGGCCAATTTCAACATCCATTTTTCTTGTTTTAGTTTCAACATATTTAATACAAAAAAATGAAATAATACAGCCATTTAAAACAAAACAGCCAAAAAAACTTGTTTTAAAACAATTATATATATTGAAAAAATCTCTACCAGTCTGTATTTATCTCCATCGCGAGAAGTAGTCCTTACCATCCCATCTGCATTGCTAAAGTGTACCGTATGTAACGCCATCCATTGATTGACAAGTATCCAAAAGTACTCTCCACCATTCGCCGAGCCACCCGCAGTTAAATATCCTCTTTTCTCGATTAAAACCATTTCTACACAAGATTCTTTTTCATGGGGATAGCCTTGTTAGACACAAATATATGTCTTACTCAATAACATGACAATACAAAACATGCCATAAGATTACTTCATATATGTATTGTTTTCACATTTCAAGGTATTTTACTTTAAACTACATTTAAATTCCAAACTGTAAATAACAAAATATGCAATGTCCGAATTCCCCAGAACTATTCCGTGTCAACATCAATCCCAACTAGGCGACGACAATGTTCTCGCACATAAAAAAACCTCAAAAGACACACACGTTTTGGGCAAAGTAGCGACATAGTACATAAAATATGACAGTACGCAAAATTTTACATTGGGGTAAAGTTTCGAAGCTATAACAACTATTTTACTCGAGTGCATATTGACATTAAACAACCAGAACACCAAACACATCATTACGGTAACTTGTTTTTTTTTAATGGTCGAGCGGTAAAGAGTTAATACTAAGGTTAATTTGATGCAAATACATCACAAAGGGTACTGGCGTTTCTCGAATTTAGAAGATTAAGTATTTATTCCATTTGCCAACTTCGACTAAAACAAGAGTCCGATACTATTTCAACATATTTACTCCTTTAATAAGCGCCAATGCGAAGTTCACAAAACTACTCCAGTCATAAGCATTGTTAAATAATTATCCGACATTTTTTTAATCTATTATTCAGCTTGAATGTATTTATGATATCATGCTCAACAAAAAATATCACGTGGTATTTATATTTTGTCACTTCTTAAAAATGTAAGAAGGTCCATGTGCAGTCAGATGCCTAAATTTAGATAGCTTAAATTTAGATGGGTGAGAAATCGAACTTTTATTCGATAATGTACTGTCAACGTGAAATATTATGATAGGATGCGTCTATTTCTTCTGGGGAGGGCTCGTGCTTATTCATATATATGACAAATCACGGCCCCTCAGTGGTTATTAGTTAACCAGTTATTCTTTTCAGATGCATAGACTTGAGGCTGGAAGAGACTCTAACCACCAACGGTTACTTGAAACATCATACCACGGCAAAAAGTGAACATAAGTATCCCCCATCCCGCGCAGTTTATCAGCGGTACAATGACAAACATGTTCTTAATACGATGCGCCAATCCGTCCAAATCTGCTGAATATCCATAGATATTAGTCAGCATTTCCTGCTAACTTCCCTTTTTTAAACTCTCAGGACTCTTACACTATCAGACTTTCTATAGATCGTATTGTAAAAGATTAGCCACTAGCCAGAATGAAAAGAAATCAGGATAACTGAAAGAAACTGTAGACTGATATTTCTCGATTACCACAAACTCTCAAAGTAGCTCATTCCAGTTCCACAACGGGCATATATTTTCCAAGTTGACACCTACAACGTAGGTTCTTACTTCACCGATAAACATTTGTCCAATGCAAAATGATGTCACACATATCAGACACAATCTGTAGCTAATATGACATGGGATATAGTTCTTACAATTTTTTCACTCAATCGAATAACATTAAAACAGTCCTAGGAAAAGCACTAAATCACGAAAACTTTAAAATTAAGTACAATTCTTTCTATAGGCTATTCAGCTATTGTATTCAATATTATTGAAACATCGACATTTGAATATTCAATATTTTATTGCTATAAGTCAGAATCGTATAAACAAAATCATCACAGACTTGGGGGACCATAATTACTCGTGAAACCACAAAAAGGAACGTCAAATATAACATTGAATTACTATATCCTAAAAAACTAGTAAAATTCAAACCGTTGATCGACAACCGACTTATCAGTTTCTAGACCCCCAATGTCGTATATATATGTACTGAAATTGATATTAAAACTTTGAAATTGGTAGCAGTTGATTTTATTTGTTGTGGAGATATAGAATACCTAATACTCGTATAGGAATTATGATAGTGTAGTATTTTACACAGTGTACCGCTTAGACTTACAGTCTCTGAACAAGTCTCTGTAGGGAACCATTCGAGTCTTTATAAAGATTCAATTTTCATAGCAATATAAATTAATACAATATATGTGACAAGCATTTATTCAATAAGATGATTGCATTGACAAGAAGCCAAGGATAAAAATGTGACATGCACCTCAATAAAAAAACTAAAACAAAATGGAGTTATCCCTGATGAACCATCAAAATATTTTTAACTAAAACATTTTTAAGAGTGTCTCTGAAGACACCCACTTCTCGTAAATTTCGAGGTATATTATCATAATATAGGTATATTATTAGTTTTCTGAGAAATTAATCAGTTTTCTTCTTATTTTCAACCTCAACGTAGTTGCGAGCAACGTATTTCAGTCCTTCGTCGATGATAATGACTGGAAGAGAGATCTTGAGAACCATCATCCATTCTGCGAAGCTCAGTGGGCAAATCTGAAACACCATTGGAAGAGGGTCGACATACAGGATAACAAAATGAAGAGATAGTGAGAGAAGGATAGCACCAATCAGCCAAAGATTTTGCCATGGTGGCATGACGAGAAGCGATTGGTTTTCAGAAACGGAGTTAAGAGCGTTGCACAACTCGATGATGACGAGGACAGACAAAGCCATGGTCATTGGATGAGGATCTTCAAAGATCTTGCAAGTGATTCCTTCGAACAATTCTGGGCTTGAATGGCACGACATATAGTGAGTTACTTGCCACCAAGACATTTGTGGACCGGTTTCGGAGTAGAGGAACCACCATGTGGATGCTCCTACAGTTGCAGCTCCGACGTAAACACCAATAACACAATATCTGCACAACAACCAGCCGTTGATAAGAGTGTCTTTAGTGGATCGTGGCTTCTTGTCCATGATGTCCAAATCTGGTGGGTTGAAGCTGAGAGCAGTGGCTGGAAGACCATCGGTAACCAAGTTGACCCAGAGAAGTTGAACTGGAATGAGAGCTTCAGGAACGCCGAGAGCGGCGGCGAGGAAAATGCAGACAACTTCGCCAATGTTAGATGAAATTAGATACCGGATGAATTGTTTCATATTGTTGTAAATTGCACGTCCTTCTTCAACAGCTGCTACGATTGAAGTAAAGTTGTCGTCAGCAAGAACCATTTCAGCGGCGGTTTTAGCGACTGCAGTTCCGCTTCCCATAGCAATTCCGATTTCAGCTTTTTTAAGAGCTGGGGCGTCGTTAACACCGTCGCCAGTCATGGCAGTAACGTCTCCATTAGCTTGAAGGTATTCGACGATTTTGCTTTTATGTGATGGTTCAACGCGAGCAAAAAGTCGTGCGCGGAGGCAAGCTTTAAATTGTTCATGTTTGGACAAATCGTCAAATTCACGACCTGTGTAAGCCAATCCTTCAGTACATTCGTCCTCGCCAAAAACTCCAATGCGACGGCAAATGGCTTCAGCGGTTGCCTTGTTATCTCCAGTGATGACGATAACTCGAATTCCTGCAGCTTTGCATTCTTGGATCGCTTGGTAGACTTCGGTACGAGGTGGGTCAAGCATGCCTACAACTCCGACAAATGTGATTTCTGTTTCGTAGTTGGCAAATTTAGTTGATT